ATAGAAAAAAAAATGATACTTTCCTATTACACAAGACTGCATATATTAATTATAGCGATTATCACCCAAGACTACTTCCATTATCTCACCTACCACAATAGCTTAACGATTAGTGCTATAGTGATAAATATTTTTATTTTATTTGTGAATCGTTTTGTTCATCTTTGTCAAAAATGACAATAATATTATTATTATTTTATTTTCAGTGACCGTATGCCAAGTATGGCATATATGGTATAGGGCTTATAAAATATTTAACAAATGATTACTGTCTATTTAGATCTTTTCTTTATTTCACTTTTTAAATATAATTTGAATGTGGCCATCTTCACAATACGCCTTTGTATTAAATAATATATCAAAGAATTGAATATGTTTGTTAATATAAATAAAAATAAGGTAGTCAGCGATAATAGAAAAGTGGGCAAATCTTGGTAGTCTTAGTCCTTATATAACAGGATTGTGATGTTTCTTAAAACAACCGTGGTAGTTGCGATAACAGAGGTAATCTTGGGTGGTAGTCGCAATAATAGCTGTAGTCTCATATAATAGGAAAGTACTAAAGAATTTAATTGTACAAACGACTTTTTGAAAATAATCTGGCATTTATAAAAAATTGTTTTTGTTTTGGTACCTATTATTTTTTTATAATATAGGTTTAGAAAATTATTTAGTTGTTGAAACATACCTAGTAGATATTACTGTAGTAATAATTCAATGTTTAAAAAAAACTTAACTTTTTTAGAGTTCTTCCTGTCAGCCAAAATGTATATTACAAAAATATAAATAAATATTAGCTAAACTAGTACCTAATTTAAAAGTCATCAAAAAATATAATATGTATTTGTATTAAAAATATTTAAATATTTAAATATAATAAAATATTAAAATATTATTTGTGTTCTCGAGATAACAAAAACAATTAATTTTATTGAGTTATCGAGAACAAAATGCTATTAAGAGGACGCCACACATCCGTTGTCTCCGTTGTACAAGTGCGTAGCATATCAAATTTTACGCTCAGCAGATCACATTTATCTCCGTTAGGTTAAAATTTAAAGTGAATTGACCTAATATAAAAATTAAATTCAAGATTATTATCCAGGGCATCTCTTGGGCTTTTTATTATATTTTAATTTTAAAGCAAGTTATGAGTATTTTTAGATATACATTAATTTACAATTTTAAAATACTCATAACTCCCTTCAAAATTAAATTATAATACAAATCCCATGAGATGCCCTATCTTGCCTTTTAACAGGTTTAACTTAATTTAATTTTCAATTCACTCTAAATTTTAAACTAACGGAGATAAACGTGATCTGCTGAGCTTAAAATTTGGTATGCTACACACTTTTACGACAGAGACAACACATGTGGGTGTAGCATCTTTGTAAGTGCAATTGTAAATTCAATGTAATATTTAAATTATTTAATGTTTTGATAGTTCAAAATAGCGTCATTTGACATAATAAGAATCTACGGTATACAATATAAAAAAACAAGATTTTATCTGATTCATTATGTACTGATTTTAAGTCTTTTAATTTATAGTATTAATTTTTTTTTTTTTTTAATTACAGGTTATAGTAAGTTTTTCATTGAAATTTCAATGTATCCGTCTAATGGTGTTTTCTGTGGTTATTTTATTTGTCTGTCTGGCGTATGGGAACTCGGTCAGGTTTCAAGACACTGATATTCATTCTGGCGACTTATCAAAAGCAGTCAACGACTACTTTCTTTGCCGGCACTGCGGTACAGATATTTCACCATTATCATCACTAATATCAATTGATAGTCCAGCTGCTTCAAATAGCCGTGTATCTCAATTATTTGGTTTGAAAGATATCAAGGTCCAAACTGTAAAGAATTCGTTGCACTCACAATTTGAAATTATTACACTATCTAAAACTTTGTGTGTTGGAAAAGGCAATGTAAGTTAAACACTCAAATTGTTGGAACTAATTTATATTATTATTTAATCATTATCATCATAAATCAGTGATCAGTAATTGGTGACCAGCCGACCTCATCCAGCTTTCTCAACTATTTCGTACGACCCACTTCAAAATGTTGATTTAATTGATTATTTTATATTTATAGATCTTGAATGTGTTCATTCTATATCTATACAATTATTGAACTGTATTTATACTTGCCTTAATAAAAGTAAATCTATTAAAATTTTTAACTTCTGTTCACTTTGCTAAACTTTTTTAATTTTCGAATATGGCTAATGAGTCCAAAAAGATTACTGATCACTGATATAAATTATTAGTAGGCATAAGCATTATATTTAATAAAGATTCTCTTAAATTGTTTTAACCAACAAGTTATTTTGAAATAATGTTTTTAATTGAAAATGTTATATGAAAGTATGTAATAAATAATAGTGCATTCATTTTGTTTGATAGTGGCAGACTGAAGATTCCTGGTTTCCTGGTTACGTTTGGAAAGTTTGTGTATGTGCTAAATGTGGACGTCATATTGGATGGTAAGTTTACAGAGTGTATATTTTACTTATAATTACTTATAGTTTATTTACTTATACTAAAAAGATTTATATGATATTTATGTATTACTATTAAATGGTAATAATTAGTACTCAAAACTTTATTTATTTGTATATACCTGGGAACCAGTAAATTTTAAATCTGGTAAAACATTTCTTTCATAAATCATAATATATTCTTCTCAAATTGAAAAATATTAATGTTTATTTTGGTATATTTTAATAAGTTTTTAGTGATTACGCTGTACTAATTAATAATTCATATTTTATTAATAAAATAACAATAACAATTGTGTATTGCAAAATTAAAATCTTCTTGTTTACAAAAAAGTCAGCAATAGCATATATCTAATTTTTATATTTAAGTCACAAAATGTTGTTTTTTCTATCTTCTATAATCTATTCACTTTTAGAAGAGACCCAGACGGTGACTAGTTTTTGTCGGCGGTAGACAGGTCTACGAAAAACCGATTCCCTCACTGCTCCCGTCGACAAGATAAAAGCGCGCTATGAAACCACGCCCATGTGCAGAAGTTGGCTGTCAAGTTTCTTCTAATAGTCTATAATTATATTATATTATATCATGTATACACTATACATAATGACTTGTCATGAGTGATTCGCCATCACTTTTTTTTCGTATGGAGCTATGTCCGGGAGTAGGCATGAAGGCCTAGTTCGGACGCCTATTTGGCAAAATTTCTATTGGGGCACCCGTAGGTTTCTGCCATGCTCTCGTCATCACTTAGCCGGAATTACTGAAACTATTAGTATGAAATTTGGACAGTAGTTTTGTTTTAGGATGTAGACACTCCCTAAGAAAGGATTTTTCAAAATCCTATCCCTACAAGGGATAAAAGGGTTATACTTGCATTTAAAAACCGTATTTATGCAAAAAATATTGTAAAATGTAGAAATAAATATATGTCAAAAATGGCAAAATATTCAAAATAAAACTTTATATTTCGGATCTATTGACTTTTGTTAAAACTTGTAGATTACCTAGCTATTTTTTGGACTGTTTAGAAAAAATATGCAAATGAATATAATTCCTTGCCCTGGTTATTATATTAAATACCTATATTTTTTTTTCTCTTTCCTGTATGTTTAGCTTTAGAACTACATGTAATTGAGTGCAATGGCCATAAATAATTAAATAAATAAACAATATTTCAATAACTTTTTAAAAGCAATTTTAGCATAAAAAAATTAATTTACAATTGTAAACTTTTCCATTATACATAAAGAATTGTATTTTCATATATTAACATTTTATATAAACACTAAAGTTTCAAGCTTAGTATGGCGTTATCAACACATCCATGTTGATAAGACTAGTAAATAATAGTTATGTAGTAAAAGGTAATTTTACTTTACTATGTCAAAATATAATAATCCAAAATAATAGATTAATAATAATAAATTATTTTTAAATGTGTAATAAACACCTTATCAATCAGCATAAATTTATACACCATTTGTTTTATTTGATACCTATTTAAGATTTGCTTTTCATTTATACAATTGACTCATAATTTTTAGTTACTATACAATTATTTTCTATGCATTTATTGATATCTATACATATTGTTTAAACTATGTTATGTTTTAGGATGTTTGAACCTTTGCATTTGGCTACCAGTGATAAAATATACCCTTCAAAAGAAGGGTTTTATGTTGTCATCATTTCAAGTATTATTAACGAACTACGTGAGTTTAACTTGTTGATTATTAATGACTTAAAAATAAATAATTCTACCAATCATAGGTATTAACTGTTGGTGTTTTAAACAGCTCATATTATTGGCACATGAATTAAATGTTTTCATTTTTCTTATTCAAATTATTTGAAAGTTTATCTACAGTTTTTAGAAACAAAAACTTTAAAACTAACTTGCCAAATTTTAGGATGTACCTAAAATTCTTTCAACAAAAATAAATTACCCAATATTCTCTGTATTTAAATAGCATTATATATTAAATGTTAAGGTTTGTTTTTATATAGTTAATTATATTCTATTATTATATAATTTCTGAATTCAAACTTAATTATTAATTTCTAATAATTTTTCAAATAACTAAAAAAAAAAAATTAAAAATCAGGAAATTAACAAAAATAAAATGTTGAAATGTCAATATTTTCAGAAAAATAAACCCTATAAAATGGCTATAGTGAATTTTTTTGGTAATAATTGAATAAAAACAATTATTTTTTAACTTTTTTACTTAAACATTAAAATAAATTAAAATATTAAATAATTGTAATTCTTATAACTGTTAGTATTATTACAAACCCAGAATTTCTATATCTCCATTATTTTGGGAGATATCGGAATAGGTAAATTCTCTCGGGACACCCTGTATTTACTATTAGTTGCTGCTCTCATTAATATCCAATAATTATAATCTTAATTCCTAATTCTATGTAATATCTTCAATCTCATTAAAATGTTGGTTCTTTTTTTTAGATGCTGACTCATTGATTGTAGTACCAAAACATTTTTCTACAATAGAAGAGATCTCAGATTAAAAATGGCATCTGCAAATTATCAAAATTCAACAGATAGCAAACATGAAATAGTTATTAAAGACAACATCACTACATTTAAAACCCTTGATACATGTGTTGATGAACCACAAACGGAGGATCAGAAAAAAAAGTTATTGCAATTTGAGGAGGAGTTTAAAAATCGATACACAGATAAGGATGAAGATTTTCTGTTTACATTATCAATTGGAATTAAACCTCCGCCATTAATTCCTTCATATAGACCATTTGGGAATCGTAAAAGGGATAATAAAAATCATTGGGAAGACAGAAATGATCCAAATAAAAGATATTCACATTATTCGCACAGAAATCCAAGTTATGGTTATAATAATGATTTTAGAAGATAAGAAAAATTACTGACATTTACAGTTTACATATGTAAATTATATTCAGTGGTTTTGACTTTTTAATAATATTTTCTTTACAATGATTTTATTACAAAATCTATCAAATTAATTATTTTCTTTCTAAAATAAACATTTTGAGGTTTAATAAATAGCTAGAATTTTTTTAAATGTATTTGATCAAAATACATTTTTTCAATTAAAATTATTCCACATTGTGTTAAGTTTTAACATTACTCCTGTTATGTATATGTATGCAATGCATGATTGTCTACAAGTGACTTACATTAAAATTGTTTTTTATTTAATAAAAGCACTTTGAACTGCATAGAAAATTTGTGTGTTTGATTTGGTTGTTTGTTTCTTTAATCATTTATTTGATATTTGAATAAATAAAATGTATTTAAACTTCTTACACATAAATAAAATTGATGAATGTTTTCTATATAAAATACATGGTGATCATATCTCTTTAATTATTAATTTTTATGACAGGTTGCAATAGGTTACCTAATCAATCACTTTTATTGAATATTAATTTAATGATAATTTAAACAAGATTTAAGGCCAGTTGTACCGTCTCTGATTAAAGTTAACCGGAGTTTAATCGGCCGAATTTGCATGGTTAAATATCTGTTATCAGCTGATTAAGCGTAATCAAAGTTTAACAGTAGACGGTACAACTGGCCCTTAGTGGCTTGTGGATCAAAATTAGTCTTCATTTTAGTTAGTTTATTAATCAATTTTTATACAACTTCACATAAATATCATTATTATTATATTGCATAACCAAAAAAAATAATCAAAGTTAATTTTTGAAATGTGTACCTAAATTTGGCGGGTACTCATTTCATTTATTTATTTTTCATAAAAATTAGTTTGATTACATTTGAAAGATGTAGTTTAATTTGGATGGGAAAATGTGTTGAAGAGTAGAGTATTGGGAATAGATTACTAATAAATTATCTAGATAAAAATAAAAATTAATGTACCAAATTGTATCTAACTAAAGATAAAAATACATACATTTTTACCTAGATAAATATAAGCTAAATTCGTGTTAAAATGTTCACATCTCCAATGATAAAAGTCTTACAGGTAAAAAAATGTATATTATCGCCATTTAAAACATTTTATTTATACCCAGACCCTTTGATTTCCTCACTCTCATATAAAATTCTCTGGAAATCCATACGCCGCCTTAAAATTAATTAGCGTAGAGATCTTCTTAATGATTATGTTACTTAAAGTAAGGAAAATTATCACGGTGAGTTCTAATATTTAATAGTCGCATTGTTCATGTCACCCAAGTTAAAAAAAAAAAATGTACGCAATCTCATTTACTTATTGTACAAAATTAAGTATTGGTTTTAATGTTTTAAACATTCAATACAAATTAACTAAACAGGATAAGTATTCACCGACTGAATACAAAAAATTAGATTTGAAATAAACGGTTTATTATAAACCCATTATAAGTGCGTATCTAAAAAGTAAAAGGTTAGAATGGGTGGGTCATATTTGGAGATCCGAAGGTATTGTAAAAAATCTATTCACTGGAAGACTAAATGGTAAAAGACCTAGGGGTCGACCAAGACAAAGATGGGTAGACAGAGTGAAAACGGATCTCAYGGAAATCTCAGAAGATTTAATAAGGATTGAAGATAGCGAAGATAGGAATAGGTGGAAAGATGTTGTCAGTGGCGCAACCATGGGTGGGGTTTGGGGGTTGTGACCCATCCCGAAATGTGTTTAAAAGTCAAATATTTCAAAGTGTCTTCACTTCATTAAGTGAAGACTTTTTTTTTTGCTAATTTATTTTTTTATATGTATAACCCCTCCCGAAAATAGATCCTAGTTGCGCCACTGGATGTGGTTGAGGCAGCGAAGGTCCTAAATGGACTGTAAAAGCTAGAAGAAAGAAAGAAAGAAWAATAATAATAATAATTGATATAAGTTATATAACAAAGTCTAACATTTTTTTTTTCTTTTATTGTACCTACTTCAAAACATCAACAGCAAAGGTTATTTTATAGGGTCCTATTCGTACATATAGCACTGTAATGCTATATATATTGCTTATTATTATTATTAATAATTATGATGGCATTTTATTTTACGATTAATGGTAGTAAATAGTAATAACTGTGATAATCTATCAAATACAAAGTGTCCCGAAGAGATCTGACATTCTGACAAATGAAATAACTTTTGTTCTAATAAATATTTTTTTTAAATGTCTTTTAAATATAATCCATAGACAATTGAGCTACATTTTTTATTTTTTAATACTGAAAATAAAAAAACTTAAAAATTGATAAAAAATTTTTTCAAAATATTAATTATAGCCAATTTGTAAATCTGATTTTTAGAAAAATTGATATGATAAAAACACTTATTTA